TCATGTTAAATTACCCATTTACTAAATCCACCCTTACGTGTCTTAATTGGAATTACTTGCTCCATGTTTTACCCTAATTGCCGATTAAACTCTTATGTGCCTTCACTGAAGTTGTTGCCTCTTTTTTTTTTTGATAAACTACCATTTCATTCATCAAAAATTGTTCGGTGCATAATAGGATCTGCCGACCAGCTCCTTATCTCTTCTTAGACTATACTTAACTTCTACATCTCAAAGATGTCTCCCTATACACTATACTAGTAAGCTATCATGTTCATATCCTATACATATACTTCTAGCAAAAACTCTAACATAAACTCAATTACACATAAGAAGTTATGGATATCTATCTAAAGCTTCCATATAATCCTTCCAATTGCTGTGCATATGGCTCTTGATATGGATATATGAGGTGATCTCTCTGCATATCTGCTCTGCTGAAGTGCATCCACTTTGAAATCTGATTGCATTCCTATCCCTCCATATACTGTGCAGCAACATGCCAAAAACTGCTGAAATGATATTGCCAATTCCTTTCTTCTTCCTAGCCTGATAAGTCACCCATTGTAGCTCCTCCTCCCAGGTTTGAATTTGTCTTTGAATTCCCATCCAGTTTAGCAGTCTCTTACAGATAGAGCTTGTGTATGAGCATTCAAAAAATAGATGTTCCAATAGCTCTTCTGCCTGACCACAAAAAACACACATTAGGTTTACTTGAATTCCTATTTTCTGCAATCGATCCACTGTTGGCAGTCTTCCTTGGATGGCCAGCCACATGTTAAACTTGTGTCTTGGATGTATATGAGGATGTAAGATCAAACTTTTCCAGTATACCTTCTGTCCCTGAGGAGTTTGCAAGTATAAAGCTTCTTAATACTGAATTTACCACTGGTGCTTTGTAGAGAATCCAGTCGTTCTTGCACATTGCCTTGTAGAGTTGGTATATTCAATATGAACTTCCTTTGCTCAATAATGTTTCTTACAACCCAAGCTGCATTCTTAGGTATAGGCATATTGTCAATGCTCCTATTTTTTATGTAGTAGATATGGACCCATCAAATCCACAAACAGTCTTTCTTCTTTGTGATTGCCCATAGATGCTTCATTATTGCAGCTTTGTTCCAGTTGCACAGATTTATCACATGTAACCCTCCCATTGTTTGTGGTAAACAAACTCTATCCCATGCTACCAAGGCTCTCCTGGAGATGTCAGCCTGCCCAGTCCATAGGTAAGTCCTGCACACAGCCTCTATCATTTTGCTGATCTTCTTTGGTAGTAAAAATACCTGAGCCCAATAAGACTGCATCCCAAATATTACTAACTTGATGAGTTGCAGCCTCTTTTTCTTTTATTGCAATGCTATCTTTTCCGTAATTGTTTATCCTTGATTGAAGTTATTATTATCTTTTTCATAAACTGCTTATCCTTAATTGAATTGTTGAATCGCTCCCTTAATTGATCCACCCTAATTGAAGTTTTGTTATCCCTTATCATTGTTGACTTACCCTCAATTGGAGTAATTGATTCATGTTATCCCTCTTATCGTTGAATTGTGCTTATGTGGAATCAATCCTACACAGTATCTCTTCCTTGTTGAGCTATTTCTATGTGGTACCATTATTTCCCGTTGTGTCTTTCCTTGTGAGCTCGTTCTTCCATCTCTTTGTGTCCCGGAGTTCCTAAGTTTATTTACTTGTCGTATTCTTGTGTTATTGTCGTTGTTGCTGTTGTATCCAGTGTTGTGTTTGCACGAGGTTTCTGCCGTGCAGTTGTTATTGTGGCACAAGGTTTGTACCATGCGGTTGTTATTGTGGCATGAGGTTTCTACCGTGCGGATGTTATTGTGGCACGAGGTTTCTACCGTGCGGTTGTTATTGTGGCACGAGGTTTCTGCCGTGCGGATGTTATTATGGCACGAGGTTTCTGCCATGCGGTTGTTATTGTTTGAACGAGGTTTATGCCATGCTATTGCGATTCATTTTATAATTTGAGACTACGATGCGGTACCTCGGGAGGGCTCTGTTGTCATTTTCCCTTTTCTGTGCACTTGTCTTTGATTGTTGTTTTCCATAGCAAACTATTAATTGTTCTCCTCCGTGTTGCATTATTCACTCAGTTCTATGTAGCTAATCTTGTTGTGCTGGTCGTCGCTTCAAACTTTTTTGCCGTCTTATTTACAATGTATATTTCGTGGTGATCGCTTCTTATGTGCCATTCGTTGTCTTTGCTCTTATTTGTTGACTTGGATCGTGGTAGAACACTTGCACAAGCATACACATAAATTAATCACCCATATCAGATTAAGAAGATGAATCCTGACGTTATTGATCATTACATGTATCCTTGTCTACTTGCCTTCTATGTGAGAGTTGCTTCCCTTGGCACGTGAGTCGTCCATGCAGTTAGGAATTGAAATGTGCGCACAAGATGCCAAGTGATTAGGGTTCAAGAATTGGGACCCGTGAGCTGTGATTATGAGGTTCGATACCTTGTGGAAATGCTTGAACAGATCTGATGTGAAAGCGTTGTTCTTATTGAGTTATTGTTGGTTTCCCCTTTATTTGGTTTTTCCTCAGACTTAGACTGTGATCAGTTACTTTATAGCATTATTATCTTATTGCTTCTTGTTGCCTATTGTTGTTACTAGTATATCATTTCAAGTATTGTTATGTATTCCTTATCCTGACAAGCTTTATATTAATATTGTTGTCTGTTAGTTCATCTACATACTTGTTCAGGTTGTTTAGTCTAGTAGGTGTCTTGACTGCCCCTCGTCACTACTCCATCGGGGTTAGTCTTGATACTTATGGGCTACCGTTATGGTGTACTCATACTATGCTTCTACACAATTTTGTGCAGATCCAGGTGCCACAGTTGTTGTTGATTATTAGCTGGCTGGTCGAGCTATGGAGACTCAAGGTAAACCCGTCGTCGCATTCGCAAGCCTCGGAGTCACCTTCTGATTTTGTTTTTGTACTGTTTGATTTCCATTCCGAACAGTTGTACTTAAGGATTATTCTTAACGAACTCAGTAGAGCTTATGACTTGTACTACCAATTTTGCGAATTGTAAGTTGAGTATAAAGGTTTCTATTTCATATTTAGTAGTTAATGATGAATTCTTCTAATAATTCAGCAAGTATTAGGCTTACCTAGTCTTAGAAACTAGATGCCGTCATGATATCCTACATAGGAAAATTAGGTCGTAACAATTTGGTATGAGTAGGCAAATCTCTGCCGAATGAGTGTTCAGCGATATCTGCCGCATGCAAATCTCCAACTGAACATGAAGAAAATTAGGAACGTCACGTTTATTACACTTACAAAAGGCTCCAATTAAATGCACCCGGCTTTATGTCACGATTTTGGTTTGCCATTGATCAATTCAGCCAATGGTTTCCAACTTCCAATACACTTTTCGTATGCAAGTCTTACATAAAAAATACTTAAATATATCCACCTGGAAAGGAATAACAAACTGAAATAACATTCATGTGAGCTACTTAATTATTTGTTAGCATTTGTAATGTTTATATTCTGTGTTAGCTTTGTCTAATTCCTTGTATCATACAACTAGTGTTTGACCTAACGATATCTGCAGAGTTTGCATCCTAATTAAGATATTAGGAGCGCACCAACTTTCATTAATTGTGAGAAAACTCTTCTAAGTGTATAATAATAATAATAATAATAATAATAATAATAATAATAATAATAATAATAATAATAATAATAATAATAATAAGTAATGAGAATTGAAATAAATAAAAAAGTACGTAATTTCGGAATTCCTTGTTAAAAATACATAAACATGTTTAAGGTGTCCTATGGATAGCTTTAAAAATGACTTGATATATAGAGAAATTAAGATGAATTTAGATACTCGTGATCATAAATCTAATGGTTTAGCAGTCAATGAAGTGAGTGCAAATTTTAAGTATTACGATTCACATTCAAGCTAAGTAACAATAAAAAGCACTAAAGGTTTCTTCTTTGTAAACTTTGGTCGGCACAATTATCCGATATTAAACGAATATCGTAATGGAAGAATCAAAATAATAGGCAATCAATATTCAAGAATACCCTTCAAATGCTGATGGAATGAAGAAGAAATATATTATTAATCTTCTTGGAATATCCAAATAAGATTGACGAGGTACATTTTTTATGTATCCCATTTTGTATGTCACTATTTCTACGTGATAATTGAGGAGCTAAACACATTTTCTTTGACTATAAATTATTGAATATTGAAAAATAAAAAAAAAAATCATGTTTTGTCGTATTATATGGTCTCAAACTTTCTAAATTTAATTTAAAAAAAATTAAGAATCCGAGTGGGATTCACACAAGTATTTGAAAGTTTGAGTCTCATTAATTTTTGTAAAGAATATATTACTCCAAGGGCGGCCCAATAAATTTTGTGGTTTAAAGCCAAACACTAATGAAGATCTTAACTTTTTAAAAAGAGTGTATTATGTTTTATTTGAAATCTATTTTTTTTAGAGATTTTTTAGATGCAAAGTTATTAATAATTTTATATAATCAATTTCTCCTAATTAAGTCTTTCTCACTTGACAATATAGCTAATCCATTTAATCTCTCTTGAGACGTTGTTGATCTTAGATAATATTTTATCAATTTTAATTTTGAAAAACTTCTTTTCGCTGAAGCAATACTTGGTAACAACAATTGTTAACATTATTATGTAAGCAATATAGGCATTTGAAAAACGAATCAAGTCTTTTTATTTGATTTAGTATATCGATTAAACTTTTATCTTCTATTTATAATTATTTTTGTATATATAACCTATTAGGTGTAACAAAAAATGGGCCTCCATAAATATGGGGCCTAAAACAATTATTTTACTCGCTTTAGGGAAGGGCGCCCTGTCCATTACAGTAATAATATATGAAGCTTGGGTGATTATTAAGGGAGAATTATATTATTAATTTGTTTTATCGTAATTAAGTCGTATCTAATCATTGCAGACGGTGGGACCCAGAAGCGCTCAACAAATGGAATGTTAAGAAAGGCGGAGCAAAGGAAAGAGAGAAAAGAAGGACGCAGAAGAAGAAGAAGACCCGCACCTTTCCGTCAGTTCTTTTCCCCTTTCTTTCTCTATAATTTTATTCTCAAAGATTTTTCTTCTTTCTATCTTTTCTCTTTGATGCATTTGTTGAATTTGAATGTCCGGTTTGGACCACAGCTGAATTTTGTACCTCTTTAATCTTAGGATTTTGTAAGACTAGTGAAATGCACACAATTTTATTTGATCTGATTATGTGATTTGAATTCTGTGAAACTGGTATATATATATATATATATA